TGTTTACTAACACTGGTCGAAAGTCTTCATTCTTGCCCAGTTTGGTACAAAACATGGATGTAGTTCAATAATCAGCTTAAATACAATTTGTAGTCAAAATAAGGGGAAACTGTCTATTACAAATGCATGCAAAATGATATAAAAATCTTCAACAATACATATGTGACTTGATTAGTGGCTCTCTCCCCCTAGAAATGTAAGCCTCCACTCCATCAGAGCTCGTAAATTGTTGCTACCCGCTACTGAACAAGCAGACTGGTGACATTTTTACCTGCTTTTGGGAGTAGACATAGATTACAATGAATTTGTTTCCTTTATTTTTTTGTCCTTTTAAAATAAACTCTGATATCAAAGTAGACCTTGCCTTGTCACACTCAGGGCAGGACAGTGATTTTCATAATCTTTCATTCTTTCTGGTTATGGTTTTGCTATAGAAGAGAATATTAGGTTGCAAGGGGATGTTTATCTTTACAGGATTTGCAGGAAGTTTCAACTTCAGGAGCTCAATGATGTTCCTCAGCCATCACCAGATGGATCCTTCAGCTCACTAATCAAAACTTCTGAGGAAACATATACTCTATACAACATTTTAAATATGAAAGATACAGAAACACAGAAAAACACTCCCGTCTCAAAAATTTGAGCAAAAATTAAAAGCAGTCAAAATATTTCAACATTTTTCATGATATTTTATTTCTTATTCATACCAGCTCAGTTTCAAATTTAAGGTAATTTCAAAATTTAAACTAGCAAATTAAAACAGTAACACTTTGAAAACAGTTTCGAATGATTCTAAAAAAATATCTTTTAGAATATTTGCAAATATATTGAAACATTTGAAAATCCAGCCTGACCTGCTGAAGAACACTTAAAAAATATTTTCGCCCTGTCTATGTGAAAGGAAGATTTATTTTGGAATGCAAATGAGGTCTATTCTCAGTTCGATAAAGTGGCTCGTTTTGCCAATAAATACTTTTTCTACCAAGAACTAACCTGCTGTTGAGGATGAAAAGGCTGTGAAATTTTGATGCTAATATCAGAGATGTATTTTTTGTTGGACATTTTAAATTTTATGAACACATGTACATAATGTTTTTGAACATCTTGGATAAAAGGGATGCTTGGGTTTTAAATTTATATCTTTACTGCTACAAAAGCATGTAAGTGTTATAAAAGCCAAGATCTTTCAAGTATATGGTGTTTTGTTATGTTGAGAAAATGGTCTCTTTCTCTTCTTTATCTTCCAAGCACTTCTCAGCTTTTAGCATATTTAGGTATCTTGTGCTTAACCACCTGAAAAGTTTTCTGAGGAGAACAGAACTGATCTAAAATGACGATGGAGTCATCTGAAAACCGGCAGTTCAGACAGTGGGACAAGCATATGAATATATTTATTCTATTTATTTTTCTTTTTCTGGGAGGAGGATGAAGTTGTTTTCCCAGAGGTGGCAGCCAACGACCCGACAGAGTGCTCATGCCTGGAGTTTTGTTCCATCTGCCCTCCCTGCAGATCCACATGGGCATATGGACATGACCAGAGCTGCACAGTGAGTCAGCAACTGGGACCAGCCGTGCTGTGCCACCGCAGCCTGCTGCGAGGACAGCTCGTGCACAGTGAAGCATTAATCCACCTACTTTACCTTTTGGATCTGAGTTAACCTCTCTCAATTGCATTGCACTGCAGTGTAGGGGTGTATCAGCCATTTGGTGCTAAGTCAGGAGTCTTCTCCTGTTTTTTTATTAAATAGCCCAGGTGGGACTTGCCTGTCTTTGCTCACTCTTTCTCGGCCACCCTGAAGACACTCCAATTTTTAGAAAAATCAATGAGATGCCAAGTACAACAATACTGATGCACTGTCACCAAGAGCAAGCCAGAGCTGTATACTGTTGCTATTAGGATGTTTTTCAGTTTCCTAAAACAGTTGTCTAGTGCCATGAAATAATGGGACATCTCATTAGTGCTAGCAAATACAACACGAGCTCTATGGGATACCCTGCTGGAGTAGCTGCAGCACCTAAAAAACTGCACTGCCACTGACCGAGTGGTTGCACCCCTTGGCACCAGTTTCCTGAACCTCCAGGCGAGCCCAGTCCCAGCCATTTCTCTCAGCTGGCAACCATGGCCAGAGTTGCAGAGTCCTGGCAGCTAAACCAGTGGGCTGGTGGCTCAAAACCACACAGAGACACACAAAAAGGTGTTTGAGAACCTCCAGCCTGACCTAAGAAGCAAACCATCCAAGTCCAGGGAGAGCTGGGAGGAAATGGCTAGTTTGGTTGACCGACCACCCCTAGATCTCCACCCAAATTGTACATAGCTAGCACAGGTATTCTGATCTAAACTCCTAGCAAACAACAACATTTTCATAAGCTGTGAAGCGTGCAAACACATAATTACCGGATGAGCTTGAAATAGTTGTATTCAAACTGATTATTAATTTTTATAGATGTGAACAGGGTTTGAATAATCTCAAAGAGATGAACTACAGCTGCCTTTTGCAGCAACTAGAAAGTGTTATCATGCCAAGAAAAAACCCAAAGACGTTCGGTCTTTTTCAAATTCTGGAAAATATCTTCTAAAATATAAAATATGAAAAAAAATTTCTCACATTAAGTGTACAGCATAAATTTTTCAAATTGTTGGGGGACTGGCTGACCTTCAAAGACTCAGTGGGTTGTTACTATACAGTCTCACAGCTATGTACAGCAATATTTCAGTTACTGTTAAGCAATAGTGACATTCGGTTCCACTAAAATGGTTAGGAATAGCAAGTGTGAAGAGACTATGTCAAATAAAGTTGTTTTCTCCCCTAATTTATGACCCATGAATCTAATTCTAAATTCCACAGGATTGAGTAAATGAGGCACAGCTTTAATCTATCAAATTAAAATCTACATTACCACAATCTGAGAAGCCAACTCTCAAGATCATCTTTCATGTTCTGTAGAACTAGTCACTAAATATAAATTAATACACTGCAAAGTCTGATCTCGATAACGATGCCCACTTCTCAATGACATGCTAAGGCAGGGAAATAGTATACTTACGCTTTATGCAGCTTTACTAAGAACAGTAAATCTTAGTTGCTCTATATAAATTATATACAAACGTATTTTTATTGTTTATAATTTTTACTAACTGTGAATGTTATGTTCTCTTTCTACATATATTTGTTTCTATATACTTCGTTTCCAATTAATTTATTTCTCCTCTCAGAAAAAATAATTCCAAATAAGGAATTAACCTACATTTGCTTTTTTCTTTCCCCTCTACAGCTCCAACTGTATTTTCAATGATTCATTAGCTCTTTCTCCTGCACTTGAATGATGATTACATGTATCTATCTACATTGTGTTCAACTTCACTTCAACCATTTCAGAGCTCTGAGATTAGCGCAAACACTATGGGTAAATAAGTCTCAGCTTACTGTGTCTATTAAAAAATAAAACATTTGATTTCCAAAGTTAGTCATGTAAGCTTCCTTCCTCATCAATACCGAAAGAAAGGTATCTTAAAGGTCAATTCATCCTGTGCTGGTGATGTCTGAGATAGCTGCAATACAGTGGTGGTGTGCATGCCTTTCGAATGACTGCAAAAGGAGCCTAGGAGATCACTTCAGGCTGGATTAGATCTGTCCTGGTCACAGTGTTTGCTCTACTCTTAGATAAAGAAATGCTCCTCTTCTCATTTCTTTTTTATGATATAAATCATTCAACTTCTCAAGTAAATCTCCTTTCAAAAGTGCAATGCAGAGATGGTAAGCTCACGTAACAATAACGTCTTTCTACAAGAGAGACCATTTTTTTGCTGGGTTGAGTATGAGCATGGACTGTGTCTACACAGCACTTCAGTTGCTGGGCCAGGAAGACCAAGTTTTCTATGGCTGGGTTATGCTGACAAAAGTATCTCAAAGGATGGATCAAACATAAGCATTATTGTTGGTAACATTGTGTGCAAAAGGACTAAAGGAATGGTGAGAGAGTCAAGTATCTTGCAGTTCCTTTACTCCACCTGCCAAACTGCATGTGCTACAAGAAAATATTTATATCTGTATCTGACTTAACTATCCAGAGGATAATTTGGGCCTGCAGTGCACTCTGCAAGCTGAGCCAGTTACTTTGATATAGCCAAGGATGATATTCACCTAAGGGGAACAAATTCTCTGTTAAGCTGTTAACTGTTAAGAAGGATGAAAAGAACCGAAAAAAAGAGGGGAAAAAAAGCCCTATTTGGATAATGATTTTTAAAGGAACCAGGACTGGTGAACACTATCAATTAAATGTTCATCTTTTCCAGAGTTAATAGAAAAACTTTAGTTTTGTTAAAATTTTGTAAAGAGACTACCTGCTAGCCTTTTGACCAGAGTACTGTAAAACTGAAACTATGTGCCTGGGTATTTTCTACAATTACACCTAAGATCACAAGTTTCCCTCCAACCATAAGATTTCAGACATCTCCTTAATACTGCTAGTGGTAAATTTTATTTCTCGCTTCTTGTATATGTATCTAACATTAAAGACAGAACTAGAAAATACCCACAGTTACAGAATGTGGTTGCTCACAATGGCTGAAGCCAATAATCCATTCCCTCATAGTCTTGCAGCATTAAGAATTGCAACGAAGTCCCCTGATGGTCTCCCCACTGGCTAACAGCTGCCAGGAGAAACACCTCTGTAAAGCTAAGAGGCCAAATGGGAATCCATTTCTTAGAGACCGGCTAGGCTGCACCACCTGAATACAAGTGTCATGAAATCCTGAAGGCAATAAAAGCAGGGAATCTTGTTACTCATTGCAGTGGTGATGTCAGATGCTTCAGTTTTATCAATGGTAAAATTCATTAACTGACTAATAAAAATGTCTACGTCTGCTCACTGGTAGGAGTTAGCACAAACTATGAGGATTACAAAGGGTTTCAGGGACCGTGAGGTGCACTGAAGTAGCTTTCTTCCTAGAAACTCTGTTAATTGTGTGTATTAGAGAAAAAGAAAAAGGTGGTTCCGACCTGTCATGCCTCAGTGCCCTCATATCAACATACACTGTGGTGGGATCTGGTCCAGATGTTCCCTGTAAACAACAACATCAGCTAATCAGAACCTGAAGGATGGGAGGAGAAAAGAGTTTTACCCCCCAAATAACCGAACGTTCATTTTGCTGTTAATTATGCTAATCAAATGACAAGTTATATTTAAGCTATTCATCAAACAAAGCTCAGCTTTACAGAATCAGAAAGAGTACTGGAAAACATACCTACCGTCAGGTACTTGTTACCTTGGGGTTTGGAAAAACACCAAGCGGCCATACTACTTAATCAAACACATGTCAACACAGGTTTTATTTGCTACAAAAGGCCAAGTAATCAGCACACGAATACATACAAAAAATGTTAAACACATTTTGCCATATAAAGGAACGCAGAAATTGCTGAGGAGACACAGTTTAATGGCAGAAGCACATGGCCAGGAATGTGAGGTATGGTTTACTGAGAGTCTTCCATACATGCAACAGAGAATATATTTGAAGCTAAAGATAGTAAAGGTAGCACGCATGACATGAACCAATGTGGACTGAAGGTCTGTAAGCAATTATTCTGTTCCTTTTCAGTTTTCCACTGCATATTTTAAATCCTTGCTTTATGTCACAATATTTAGTTACTTGAAAACAGTAGACTAACTTTACTTTCCTTTCATGCGGAGATGATACAGTCTTTCAGGCCCTTACATCCACAGCTTTGCTGCAGTTTTGTAACCTGCTATGATCTTCCCTTATTTGAAACTTCAAACTCATCACCACTGAACATCATGTGAATTCTCAATGCCGTAGTCTAGGGCTCTTTTCCCTGCTGCATAGCTCACATCACTGCTAGGCAGAAAGCTAGAAGAAAAGCACAACTTCATTTTGCAACACTGGAACTTTGGAAATTTTCCTTTCAGCAGATAAATTCACCTAACCGTGATAATCTGCAGGTGCAGGAACTCCTTTATCAGTTATTTAGACGTTTACTACTTAAACCAGTAGGCAACATCAACTGCCAATGATTTCTGTCCCATTTGGGATATATTATAGAGTATAATTCTTCACATTAGGAATGTCTAGGGCTAAATTTTGCACTTCTGCAATGCTGGCTGGTCACAATTTGTTGAGCACTAAAAATTGCAATGGAGTTCCACAAATAGATAATTTTTGTATCTAAAGGGGAAAAGAGTTACCACTACCAATTGATACTTACTGTATAGATACTGATAGTGACCCACCACCAGAGGAGAAAAAGAGTAATAGAGCTGCACATGCATGTTAGCCTCTTTAGCTTGTTATACACAATACAAGATACAATATCCTCTCTAGCTATTAACGACACGATTTTCAGTCTACTAGTAAACTCAGCAGTGTAACAGACTAGTGCTGAGTGGAGAACTTATTTGAAATATATGCAATGTTAAAAAAAAAACAAACAGAACAACGAGGAAAAATTGGTTGTCTTTAAAAATAAAACTAAACCTGAATTGATTTATAAAATAATGGAAACAGTCAAGTTTGAAAATCAATCACTACCATATTTGTTATTTTCAGTGTGAATAAAATAATTACAACAGACAGCTAATGTTTGATGAAACCTCCATCCAGATAAAGCTATACTGGACTTCTTTGTAATTTCATAGAAGGGTCTGAAAATCCCCAAATCTCCAGACTCAATTTCTAGTCTGTCCCACTGTTGGAAGCTGATAGGTGGGTATTGAGGGAACATGAAAATCCCCTACCTGCTCGGCCAGCTTCCCCAGCCTGTG